AATGGCCGATGGTAAGCTGTCCTGTGCAGTAAGGCAGAGCTGTGGTAGGAAAGCCTAATGTCCTGGCACACCTGAGGTGGCTTTAATAAAGTGGTCCCCCATTGCTTGGATTTGAGTGAGGTGAGGCGAATAGCACCAAGATGTTGAGACTTTTGCTGTCGAGGTGGGTTTTGTTGTGCACTTCTCTTGCTGCTTGCATCACCAAATCAGCTCATTTTCCTCAGTGACTTCAGGTCTGTGTCTTCTCCCCTTGCAGGGGTAACTCCTCCTCTCCAGCTTTTGGGGAACTGAAGGACTATTACCTCTTCTATCTGAAGAGCAAGACTCCCCGTGAGGAGCTTCTGAAGATGTGGGGAGAAGAACTGACTGGTGAGGAAAGTGTCTTTGAGGTGTTCACATGTTACATCACAGGAGAACCCAACAGGAATGGGTACAAGGTGAGAGGCCAGGAAGGGATGGTCAGTGTGGCACAAACAGCAGTGCACATTTCCTCTTGTTCCTGGTACCACATTGTTTTTCTAAAGAAGAATAAGCACTTCTCTATCCAAAAGGATTTGTTGGCACACTGGTTGAAGGGGGTTATACAGCCAGAGCTAAGGCTCAGCATAAAAAAAGGTGCTACAGTATTGATTGACTTCAGCAGTCATTCTTACTGTTGTGCATATCCTAACCCTTGAACCAAACCTGGGAATTCTCTCCTGAAGCAGGTGTGTTTGAGACTATTAAGGCACTGCTGAATTACTTCAACACCCAGATGGTAATCAAAGGGTTGTTACATCCATTGTGAGCCTTCCTTTCTCCTCATGGTAGGTCACGTGTATGCCTTGGAATGATGATCCTCTTGCTACTGAAACCAACCTCCTGAAGGACCAGCTGGAGAAGGTCAACAGACGAGGAATCCTGACCATCAACTCCCAGCCAAACATCAATGGCAAGCCATCCACAGACCCCATTGTAGGCTGGGGGCCCAGTGGAGGTTATGTTTTCCAAAAGGTACTGTGTTACTCTGGGCTAGGCAGCAAAGAGTTTGACCTACTTTGGTCTCTGTTAGGCTGGGAGGTCCCAGGCTTACATCCACATCATCTTTCTGTCCACACCTTATCTTATTGCCTTCTTGGTGAGATAAGGCCAAGCTCCTTTAGTGTCTTAGAGATGGCCAAAATGCCATCTCTATGGCTGACTTCACAGCTATTTTCCCCCACTTCAAAACATCTATTGAACATCTGTAGAGTTTCATGGTTTTACTCTCAGCAAGTAATTATTGGTAACATATTTCTGGAGTGGGGCTATGACATTTTATATATACACACGTGCCTGCCCCCTGCATCTGATTCAGTGATGCACAAAGCACCCAGATTTTTCACAAAATGGGAATCAATGAGGTAGTATCTCTACCACCCAGCATCTCATGGTGATAAGTAGATATTTAAAAATTTCCTCTGTCCTTCTATATGTCGGAGTTCTCCACAGTTGCCCCCAGCCCATGCACTGTGCTTTGCTGTATAGACAACGGTCACGTTCCTTCCCTGGCCTGCCAACAGAAATGCCTGTCTCCCCCTGTCAGGCATTTCAGGCCCTAGAGCCTTGTCTAATGGCTGTGATAGGAATATCCCATCAAGGTAAATGCCAGGCAAGTAGCTCATACTGGAAGACAAAGCATCCTTGTTCAAAAGGGATCCAAACCGGTAAAGCCAGAGACCAGCAGATGGCAAATGCATTTATGTTTTCAAAGGAAGAAATTCCCCTGAGGTGAGGGAAATCCATCATCTCACGAAATTGCCAGAAAATGGGGGGAGGGGAAGCAGTTGTTGGGAGCAGCCAAGCACAGAATTTGGTTATATAAGCACACGGGGAGAATTGTGAACAAAAGATGAGGACAGGGAGTGGTGCTTGGGAGAGGCCAGCTGAGACCCCAGAGTTCTGCTCTCACCAGGCTGGGCTGCCCTGGCAAGACACTGCTGTAAAATAAAAATTAAGCTCACGCTTCTTCCAAGCATTCTGGCAGACTGCTTCCTTGTGTAGCAGTTGTGGTAACACTGGAGTTTCTTCCCACTTGTGTACTTATGTGGATGCAAAACAGGAAGTGTGTAGCTTTCTTGAGTTTCTGGGCTGTTCCCTCTGCTCTCCCCAATTATTTTTTTCCCTAGCTCACTTACTACAGAGGCTCAAGCAAGAGTAAATTAGTATGTGATACAGGGGATGAACATACAAGGCAGCCCAGACTCTACAAATGTTGCTGTTTACCTGTATTTGTCCAGTTCTGTTGTGATTTAAGGCTCTGATTCTCTTCCCCCTTCTCCATCCCTTCCTGCAGGCATACCTAGAGTTCTTCACCTCCAGCGAAATTGTCATGGCACTGCTCAAAGTGCTGAAGAAGTACGAGTTGCGAGTGAACTACCATATTGTCAATGTCAAGGTAAGGCCATTATTCACAGGACACTTTCCTTTCACCACCTTTGGGAGAAGACAAATCCCAAATATTCAGGGAAGGGGAAGTAAAGCACATCAGCTGTGGTGTGCAGCAGCTGTGTGGGCCCTAAACAAGGAGAGGTAAATACACTTTTCCTAACTAACTCAGTCCCTGCTCCAGCAGTTGCTTCAGAAAGGTTTTCCTTCCTTTGTCAGGGCCAGAATATCACCAATGCTCCAGATCTGCAACCCAATGCTGTCACCTGGGGTATCTTCCCAGGAAGGGAGATCATCCAGCCCACTGTAGTGGATCCTGTAAGCTTCCTCTCCTGGAAGGTGAGTCCTGCCTTCTGTTGGATACATTGCTGTGATGCCCTGGAAGTTCAGTGTCTGGTTTAGTTTTAGTCTGTGACACTCCTCACAGTTGAGGGCTGTTGCTGTATTGGCTTGCAGAGGTACAGGTCTTGCTCCTCCTGCTCCCTCAGCTCCAGCAGGAGCTGTTGCCAGACACAAAGCACCCCGTAACAGGGATTGAGAGCTGCTGCTGTTACTGTACCAGGCCTCAGCGTGCTGGACAGGGGCTCTTCTCCTCTTACACATACAGGGGCAGCATTGAGCCATCCATTGTACTGCAAATGTGTCTCCTTTCAGCTCTGAGCACTTTCCACTGACTGGAAAGCATAAGGCTCCTTGCTTAACTCTTGCCATTTTTACTGTGAAGAACAAGCCACAGTCTGGCCAGTCATGTGTAACAGTGGGTACAGTGTTACTAAATTAAGTAACATTACTAAATTAACATTAAGTAACATGAAGATGTCTCACAACTGCCGATTTGTTTTGTTCCTGTGGCAGGATGAGGCCTTTGCCCTGTGGATCGAGCAATGGGCCAAGCTCTATGAAGAGGAATCTCCCTCCCGCATGATCATCCAGTACATCCATGACAACTACTACTTGGTCAACCTGGTGGACAATGACTTCCCACTAGAAAACTGCCTCTGGCAGGTTGTGGAGGATACTTTTGAGCTGTTGAACTCTCCAACTCAGCAGTGAAAATTCTTCTTCTAATCTCTTACTTCCTCCTCCCATCCACTGACTTCGGGGAAAGCAGCAGCTCCTGTGACAATGAACACACTCCTAAACCGTGACCAGGGTGGTGCTCTGATCCACCCTCACTTTGTGCTCTTCTGTCCCCAGCACAAAGGCTCCCTGAGCCATTCTCACTGAACATTAGCCAGAACTACCTGAACCTCTGAGCTGAGGCTCCAGACTCAGCCCAAATGCCAGGGTCTGCAGGATAAAGAGCTGCTAATCATGGTTATGCTAATTACAGTAACAGAAGAACACCAGGTTCTGGTAACTTTCCCCTCTGGTAACTTTCCTGTGCCAGAAATGCTGGCAGGGGAACAGAAACACTCCTGTCAGCTGTACCTATGCAAGGGGATTATATCAGCAGTTACCAAACTGGAAAAGAAGGTAAAATTGCTTTTATATTGCACTCTTAAAGTGTATTTTTTCACAGTTGATCATCAGGCACTTTTGCACTCACTCCAGAAGAAGGTCCAAATTTTCTTACTAACTTTTCTCCTTGTGTTGTATTTACTGTTTTCTTTTTAATAGGACTGTGGGAATTTCCATTCTGGATAAGACTAAGTAGGAATCACACTATTGCCTAGATTACATACAATAAAATACATGCATACAAATGTCTCTTTTACTAGGCCATGCTCTAGCAGAGATTCATGTTGTTTGCTAATTAATCACTTGGCACAAGGGAAAACTTAAGAAAATCAATTGTTCCTGGGGCAGTTCTGCCTTCACTTTCGGTGCATGTCCTGAGTTCCATGGTAGACTGGAGAAAGTGTAAATCCTAGAATTTACCAAAAGTAAGCAGCTACATTATTTAGCTCAATTCTGCAAGGTCAGGTATTCTTTTCCAATGCCTGTAGGGAAAGATAAGCTTAGATCAGGAAAGATAACCTATCTTTCCTGACCTAATGACTCTTAACAGCCTTAGGCATTGGAATAAGGGGTTGGGGAAGCTACTGAGGCTGCTTTGTGTATTTAACAATCCTGCAAAGCTGCCACAGGCTAGGAAAACTACCTTGGAGTAGTTCCCAGTGGGATTTCAAGATCCCTGCCATGCTGTGAGCATCTCTTTCAAACAAGCAAGGAAGAAAAGCCTTTTCCAGATTGTTCAGACCCTCTTGTTACAGCTGTCTGAGACCGGGCTCATATATCCAGGGTAATTACAAGGCATCAATCATAGAGGCAAGTAATGGGAAGGCTGGGGATCAGACACGCCTGTCTAGCCTCAGCAAAGCTTTTGGTGCTCAGCTGTTCCCAGCAGGTTTCTTCATACCTTGCCCATTCAGCACAGAAATGAACCAGCAGGAAGCAGTCAGGAGGTTGGCCACCCACTGAAAGGCTTAATGAAGAGCTGATGGACCTAGACAGGGGGAGGAGGTGGGAGCCATGTGGAAATCTGCCCCCCCCCTCCAGGGTAAAAGCCAAATCTAAAAATAAAGACCTGTGTTTGCACCTACCCAAACCAGACTTTGAAATCAAAAGGATCCAGCACCCACAAACTCGGGCTCATGTTTAAGACTGTATTTGCATACTCCCCCCTTGACACCAAGCTCCTGTTCAGGGAAAAAACACTGAGTAAAAGGAAAGCCTCTAAGGCTTTTTTGACCTTTAATCAGAACTCCAGCAAAAGCGTGGTCCAGAGAAGAAGAGAATGCAACCTCACAACTGTAAATTCTCTGTTTGTGTTGCTAAGGAGGTAAGATACAAGTCCTTTAAAGAGGACCTTTTACTAGGTACAATGTCTTCCTGGTTGTTCTTTGGCTGTCATCCTTCTGACTGGCAGCACTGCTTTTATTGTAAGAGCAAAGTGTTCTTTCTTGACAGCACAGGACCACCTCTTTGTTGTGACAGGAGCTGTATCCTCCACGTGTCCTGAATTGAGCAGCAGCTGCAGGCAGGCCCCCTCCATTCAGCAGGATCCTTTGTCCTTACACTGGAATGCTGTGAGCTGCCACCACCTTCTAAAGGCCTGAAAGAGGAGTGTACAAATCAAACTCTTGGGTTACCCTTGAGGGGCTGCAGCCATCCTTACAGAACCCATAAACATAGCTTTCCTTGCAGCAATGGCTCTGCCAGACCCTTCACTCAAAACCCTTCTCTGTCTCTCCTGGAGCCAATATGGGGCATGCAGACTACAAATCAATGTGAGAGAAGAAAGGCCAATGCCCTCTAATTTCAGTACCTGCTCCTGTTTCCTTAAAGGAGGCCCTAATCCTGCATGAATCTTCGGGAGGCAGGCAGAGGAGCAAACCGAATATGAGTTCTAAGGCTTTGCCTGCTTGCTCAAATTCATAGTGATTTGCTTGCCGCTGGGTGCACAGTCCTCCTGCACCGATGTGGAGCCTGTTTCTTCCCTGAGTGGGGTCTCAAGAGGCAGGGGATTAGGGGATTAACATCACTAATAACAGCAGGGAAGGGGGCACATGTCAGGGAAATTGACTCCTGACACAAAGCTTTGAAAAACACCCAGAGATGAACCCGTGTAAAGCTGGAAGCCTTTTTCCTTTTTTTACTGGCAAGTCCCATTCCTTATGTATTAAACCTCTCCCTAAGCAAGTGCATTGTGCAGGGAGAGATACAAGGAACACTTTGGGGTGCTTTTTGTACCACTGAGGTCCACTGAATTGAAGAAGGCATAAATGCTTACCTGAGACAAGAGGCTCCTGGCTTCCTCCTCCAAAAGATTCTGCACCACACAGCTTTGCAAGTATCTTTGTCTCCACACCCTCCAGGCCTTTTCTATCAGCCGCTGCTGGTCCTGCCAGGAAAAGAGGCAGCACACAAATTAATTGGGCTCTGGCAGGCAAATTACCTCACTTCCCTCCAGTCCCACTTGTTCCAATTGCTTTCCTGAGTCCCTCTTAAAAGACTTTGCACTGATAACAAACAGAGTGGACTAGTAACAGAGCTCTTGCTGAGCTACTCTCTCCAGCACAGTGTGGCCAAGTCCCAATACCGTGGGGAGAGGACAATGCCCCATTGTGCTCCAGCACAGCTCCTCAGTGACTGTGGATATGCTCACACTATACAGGCATCATCTTGTTACCTGGGCAGGCCAGAGCACATCTCACACAGCTAATGCCCAGGAACCAGGCAGAACAGGGGTATGAACAGCAGGGGAAGCCAAATGACAGCTCTTGGTAAACTGTGGATACCCGTGGGATGTATCAAGAACACAGCTGAGGACAAAGATTGTAATAACTGCTGTGATCTTTTTGCACCGTCTACGGCCAATCTAGACAAATCCCGTTTCAGCTTCCCATCTATAAGGGCAAAGCACAACTAAATCTGTGGATATGCCAGTCTGTCAAGCTGGCATTCCAAGAACAACAATGGAAAAACTATCCACAGCAGCAAACCAGGATTTTTGGTGCATACTGGTATTTGTTAAACCCCCAGGTCTCATCTCCCAGGATGCATGTGAGGCTACAGGCAGAGCAGGCTTGCCCAGTAACACCCATCACTGCCACCCCAGTGGCACTGGACACTCACCAGCACCTGAGCCAGTCTCACCACCTTGCTGGATTCCCTCCACTGATGCCATCCCCTTGCCAGACGGAGCGGGTTCCTATCATGCTGGCACCGGCGCCGTACCACTGTGTGATGCCACCTCTTCAGATATTTCCTCCTGCGGGCAAAAGAAGCAAATAATCTTTACCAGCCATACAAGGGAGCCCTTCCCTGAGGGTATCAGCAAGAGGAAGCCCAGAGCCCTGCACTCCACTTACCCAAGCCACTTCTTAGCCCGCTCCTCCAAGTCCACCTCTGCTGCGTTCTCCTGGATCCTTGCATGTGCACGAGAGGGTCCTACCACATCAGGTCTCTCCAGCAACCTTTCAGCCCTGTTTTGGCTCCTGTAGATCACCAGCCAGCGCTGAATGGCACTGGGAAAAAGTCCAGTTGGTGCTGAATCTTCTTCTCTGCCTCTTCTGCTTTCTAAGAAACAGAAGAGGAATCACACTGGAGCTCACCGTGGAGCTAGAGAGGGAGACATCAGAGCTGCCAAGAGCCCTTAGTCCTTCAACTCCTGAACACAGAAGAAATCAACTGAGTTTGATTGCCATGAGCTCCTGCTCCACAGAGGAATCCCTGTCATTAAGCTGGTAAACACCAATCCCCTTTCCTTCACACTCCCCACATGGTCTGTGAAAGAAGACAGGAGGGAGAATCTTACTTGTGGGCCAAGAGAGAGACATCTTTCTGCTTTTCCTAACACCTATGAGGGTACTGCGCTGCTGTAAGCACTGGGAAAAGGCAGCTGCTCTGGTCCAGTAGTTGCAGGCCTGCAAACAGAAATAACACAGCTGCAGCCAAGAGTAAACACAATGCACACAGCACTCACACAAACCAGAGAGACAGGCTCACAGCTCTGCAGGTAGCTTAATGTGCTAGACCCCAGGCTGGAAACTGCACAGATGAGATCCCAGCAGGACTGACTCAGCCCTTCCAAATCAATGGACCTCTTTGTAGTTTGCTAGCTGTGAGTCTTTTGAAAAAAGCTGTAACTCTGGCAGCTCACTCTGCTCTGCAGGGACAGTGATTATCCCATCTTATCTTTGAGCAGAGAGGAAGGAGTGCTCTCATCTCTCTGGTCAAAATGTCCCCTTTCCTTATTGCTGTGCTCCATATGGTTGTTGCAATCAGTGCCAGATTATGGTGATGAAGTTGTGTGCACAGTCTGTGAAAAATTTCACAGCAGGGACTAAGCAGTCACCACAAATCAAACCAGGTTTTTATACAAGCCTTGTCACACTATCTCAGTGCCTCATGACTCACTGAGTTAATAATAACTGTCTCATAGGGACCTTTATCTTCTCATACCTAGGGAGCTTTATCTTCCTTACTTGTTTGACAGTAGTCACAGATCCCAGGCGCAGGGCTTGCTGTCCTCTTGCAGCCACTCGCCAGCGGTGACAGGCTTTACCTGGAGAGGGCTCCTGCCACTTGTGCTTTCTCCCTCCTGGCACTTGTTCAGCTCTCCAGAGTTTGTCCCTCCACTTAACAAAGCTCACAACCAGGAGACGATGCTCTCTGACTCTTTTAAAATAAGAGAGGGCTTCATGCTGCCTTAATTTACGTGCAGTGACCTGGGCCCAAGCGACAAGGCACCTGAAAAACAGTTCCAAGCACAGAAAAGAAGCAGATGGCTAAAGTAACAATTCCATGTCAGACCACATTTCACCTTCTCACCTGCTCTGCAGTATCCCACATAAATGGCCAAAGCAAGCCAAAAAGCATTCAACAAGAAAAAAGCCTGTTCCTACTACTCCTGTAGTCAAGATTTATGCATTGACCTCTATGCTTTGTATTTTTCCAGTGCCTCATCTTTGGGAGGTGCAAGTTCAGACTCTTCAACTACCTTTCTGCTGAAATGCCCTCATTTTACTTCAAGTTCCCAGCACTGTTACCTCTCACCTGCTCAAAGCCTAAGAGACTCTGCTCCCTTCTGGCCATTTTAGTATTTCCTCCTATTCAAAGGCCTCTGCAAACTGAATCTTACACAGTGCTTTTCCTTTGCCTACAAAGGCAAAGGAAAGCAAATTCTTTTCCTAGGTTGCCTTGCCAGTACACATACTTGGTCCCCCACACCAAAAAAAAAATAAAAAATTAGCCAGGTCTTCAGTCTATCTCTGTGCTACCAGCTGACCAGAAAGATGGTGCTTGATGAAGGCTTTTTCATTTTTCCATTATGGGATGACACTAAAACTGTTAAAATCTCCTTCAGCATGGAACCCAGAAGGTTCCTGAAGTCTGCTTGCAGCATTTATGACAGCAGCTTGCCAAGATTCAGATTTTGTTTCTTGGCTGTCACAGACTAAGGCCCTGTGTATGTGGGATGTACAACTAGAATCTTTACAAAGACAATTTTATTCCAAAAAATCAACAACTTCAGGAGTTACTATTATCAGCACTGTAAATCTGCACCCACAATAATCTCTCTGTATCTTGCAGGCTGATGCACAGGAGGCCAGTCTTCCTCTGCAAGCAGAGAATGCAATCTGCTTTTAATTCTAGCTTATCCTTTTGATTCCTTGTTCCATTTGGACCTTCATTATGCAAATCACCCCACTGCACCACAGGGCAGAGGTGTGAAAATCCTGTGCCTGTCAGGCTTTCTGGAAGATCAAGAGAAGCTGTTCCAGGTTATCCCAGCACAAAAAATGCCCCCCTCAAACGAGACAGAGCTCATCCAAGTGAGAAATTTAGAAGCACTCTCATCAAAGGAGACTCAGAAGGAAGATTAAGGGTGGAGACATACTCAACAGGAAGGAGCAACATTAAGGGCTTCTCCTAAATACAATTCCCATGAGGGAGCCACAGAGATAGATTTGCACAGGAAAATGCAGTTGGGTGGGGTAAGTGCAGAGTCTAAACATCATAGCCACCAAAGTTTTACTGGGTTTTTAGTTGTTCTTTCCTCTGCAGATCTTTGTGTCCTCTCAGACTGAACCTGCAATTCAAAAGAAAACCTGATAGGGCCAAACCTGCACTTCTCATACCTTAAATGAACCCTTGGCATAAATAACCTTATTCATTCTTATCCTCCCGAATTATTTTAGAGAAAAACTTCAACAATCCTGGTTCACTACAGCTGGACACTTCTCTGCACTTCAGGCAGGCACTGGCCTCATACAACATAAACTACAAACAAAATGTTTCCAATAAGAAGACCACTGAACATGGTTAAGAGAGAAAAAAAATTAAATTCTTTTGTTTTTGGGATCTGTCAACATAACAGAAGACTCAAAGACAGACTACAGTTTCACCTATATTTTAATAACACCAAGATGAGTTAAATATCATGGTTCTCCCTTCATAAGCTTTATACTGCTTTGCTGCAACAACAAATCAATCTCAATTTTTCACATTAAATTAAAATCAACACACTGTGTTCAGAATCCTAAAAGACTAACTTTGTAAATATCAGATCTCTGTAAGCTCTCTGCCCACTATTTCTTTCAGCAAATACTGAAATGCAAATAAGGCTTTCATATTTTAAACTGCACAAATTTGTTTGTATCTCTCCCTCACTTAGTGTACAAATACCACCCTGCATAACTAAGACTGAATACAAGTTCTGGAAGGAAAAGAATTTTTGAATGGGAAAAACGAGGTGGGGTGTGAGGCTTTAGGTAAGAGACCCCCTTAATACAGACATCCTCAGAGAACTGCTCCTACAGAAGCTCCATTTATACATGAGCTATCCACATCTTCAAATCCAAGCTCTGCTCTTAATACAGTGGATGCTACTACATAAATTGCTCTGCATGCAGAGCTTCCCTTGGAAATGCTTTGAGAGCAAGAAACAAACCTGTGCAGGAGAAAACGTTCCCAGAATAAAACAGCATATTTCTGCTTCCTTGTTTGGTAATACCATGTCTGCAGGACCAGCCTCTTCTTCTCCTGGCAGCTGTGCCAAGCCCATTGCTGCTGCAGTTCTCCCAGAGCACGCTTCCCTGTGAGAGAGCACAGCTTCCTGAGCTCAGCCCAATGACTGCTTCTCCTCCTCTGCAGAGGCCAGACAAGAGCAAAGAATACATCTCCTGCAAACACCAAATGGGACCAAACTTGCTAAGATTTCCTGTCCTCTCCTTAGCAGCTAAAGAGACTTTTCAATTCACCTGTAGTTTTTTGTCTGCAAGGCAGTCAGACCTTCTTTCAAATTTTCCCTGCAAGAGATCACAGATTACTTCCACTCTTATCTGCAAGGCAGTTTTCCATTAAAAATTGGGAGTTTTTCTTCCCTGGCACAGTGCAAGTACTTAGAGCACAAGGAATTCCTTGAGGGATCAGCATTGTTAAGCCACTCCAAAAGATACACCCTGTTCCCAACCTGACTGCTTGGTCTAAGGAGACATGTTCAAACTTGGAATGCTGCATGGAAGTCCATTTAACTCCCCAGCTGCTAAAATACACTGCTTGAACACTCTTTTGTGCAGGTAGATGTGTCAAAGGAGCATCTTCCCTAATATAAAGCAAAGGACAAAACAGAAGGTCACATGTCCTACTGATAGCCAGAAGAATGCAGTGACACATGCTCCTACTAACTCCTGGAGCAGTATGTGCCTTTCCAGAGGAGCAGTGCACAGAATTACAGCCAAAAGTGTGACTTTCTCCATCCCAACTATTGCCAGAGCTTCTCTCTCCTATAGAGACAGTGATGCAGTGGGATGGGGTAACTCACTTTGCCAGCAGGAATGCCAACGCCACAGAGCATCAGCAGCCATCTGGTGAACATGACACCTGAATCTCCGGTCAACTTCCACTTTCTGGGCCAGTCTCCTTTTCCACAGGCTGAAAGCCATCTGGACACAATGAACCTCATGTTTTAGGGCTGCTGTTGCTTTTTGGTTCTTATTTTCCATGACCCAGTGGTGCCAGCTGAGAAAGGCTCTGAGAAGGACAAAGGTTGCTGCACTGACTGGAGGAACAACTCACAGAGATACACACCTTTGTAATGGAAAATTTAACAACATACAACGAGGGAGTTTTGGAAACACATCTGATCTGTTAACATCCTTTCCCCATTAAACATCAGGGGAAATGATGGACAGACAAGCTGTTCTGTCCTGGCTGTGCCAAGCCTGTTGTGCTCTTCAGCTTTGAAATCAGTAGAGAGCAAAGCCAGTTCAGTGGATAGGAAGTTACCAGGACTTGTTATCAGCAGAGCTGGACTTGTTCTAATTTGTGAGGCATTCCATCAAACCAGAAATTACTGTATTCCTACATAGTAATTTTGAAGCTGAAAAAACCCCAACATAATGGGCTGCAAAACTCCCACTGAAAACAAAATAAAATAGCTAGAGGAAGAATTTTTTCCTTTTTTTATTAAAACAAGTGTAAAGCTTTCAAAACAGAGAGCTTTAGGAAATTCTGGAAAGCATGATCCCTACCGAGAGAGCCGAACGCGCCTGCAGTGCTGCTGGGCCTTCACGTGATGTCGAGTTCGAGCTGACCAGACAATGAAGCACCTCTGCAGGCAGTATTTCTCTGCTTGCTGCCAGCAACTCTTCACCTCCTTGTCAGAACTGCAGCCCTGTAATCCAGAAAGGCAAAAAATGGTCTTGAACTGCTGTTGTATCAGCTACTGCACACAGCTCAGCTGTCTCTCCTTGCCACTGTCACTTCTGTGATTGCCCAGCTCCGTGGCTAACCCATACACCCCACATGAACTCCCAGACATGAGGGTCTAACACATCCTTTTTAAATCCTTGACACCTGCCCTACTTCCACCCAGCTGACAAATGGGAAGAGTTACCCTGAGAAAAGCCTCAATCTCCCAAATCTTCTGTTTGAGAGAGAAAAAAATTGCAGTGAGACCTTCCATATGCACATATTGAAACGCAAAGGCTCTTTGCTAAATTTGAATATGCAGAAAACACTTGTATATGGAAGGAAGAGAGGAGGGAAGGGAAGGGGGAAGGAGGGAAGGGAGGAAATAAAGTCCCCTGGAAGGGTGGTGTGACATGACATGAGAAATTATCCAGAAGGAAGGAATTCAGCCAGTTCAAACAAGGGGTCACTCCTACGAGCATCCCATAAAACCAGTCTCCAACTCACCCAGATCCAGGGAAGGAGAAGGAAATAAAGTCCCCTGGAAGGGTGGTGTGACATGACATGAGAAATTATCCAGAAGGAAGGAATTCAGCCAGTTCAAACAAGGGGTCACTCCTACGAGCATCCCATAAAACCAGTCTCCAACTCACCCAGATCCAGGGAAGGAGGTCTGCAAGCACCAGACATGAGGGTCTAACACATCCTTTTTAAATCCTTGACACCTGCCCTACTTCCACCCAGCTGACAAATGGTAGGGAAGAGTTACCCTGAGAAAAGCCTCAATCTCCCAAATCTTCTGTTTGAGAGAGAAAAAAATTGCAGTGAGACCTTCCATATGCACATATTGAAACGCAAAGGCTCTTTGCTAAATTTGAATAAGCAGAAAACACTTGTATATTTACATTTTACACAACGTTTTCTAGCCTTACCTCTTCCCATGCAGAGTAACTGGTGAGAAGCTGGGAATTATTATCTGGACTCTGCAGAACTGAAGACTGGAACTGATTTCCCACAAACCAATTTCTTCTGCAAGACAAAAGTGTTGGGTGAGGAAGGAAAGAAAGAAGGGAAGGAAAGAAGGGAAGGGAAGGGAGGGAGGAAGGGAGGAAGGGAGGAAGGGAGGAAGGG